TACCACAACTGTTTAGCACACGTTTGGTCAAAGGATCGGCTTCACTTGTCTCATTGACGAGTCGTTGTGTAGTGCTAAGAATGGCGAGACTCACTGACAATGCCGACGAAACGTCTGGAAATGATCATGCATACAATGGATTCCAAACTGGGTGTGTTCCTCCAAGTTTTCTTACCAATATGACCAAGTTGCGAAATCAAGGTCAAACAACTTCTATAATAGTATGAATTTTCTATAATTTAAAGGTAAATTTTCTCCCTAATTTTCGGCATATTTCACGAGCCAATCATATCAAATGCATTTGTTATCCATCAAAGCTGAGCTTTGCGTACAATTATGCTTAAATATAAACAATTAGCGACTAAGTTGCTCAGCTCTATTGACGATCTTTTTTAAATTTTATTAGTTTTTAATCTTCACGCTACATTAATGCGTTTAATCTCTTAAATTATAATTAACACAAGGCACATGATATTAATTATAAGTTAGTTTGGTAAATATTTTGCCATTTTTGCGGAAATTACTCATGTACCACTTTACTCTTCCTCATCCACTATAGTTAATCCAGGCCACATGGCGAATATTTATAGTGTTGATATTTGAGTGAGGGTGGCAGATGCTAAAATGAGGTTACAAAGCTGTTTAATCAAGTTAGCTCCTGAATTTCCATGTATTTGCCCGCACAACTCTGTGCATTTGCCTATGGTTGAATGTAATTTTGGCTTCAAAGTTCCCGGGCAACTACAAACCGAGGCTATGCCTGAACACACGTATGTATAAGTAAGCTGTTTAGCCGTCTATAACCATTCTGATATCACCATAGCTACCCAATAAACTATGTTTTATCCAAGCGTTAGACTACCGATTTACCTACCTACCGCTTTTAAAGTCAAATTATAAATACTTAGCAGATTAAAAATTCTATAGCTTAATTTGTGAGATCACTTTGTTCTTCCTAAGCATGCTTGCGTTGTATCAACTATACCAACCTTGTCTTACTGCATGGAAGGCTATGATTCATATACGGCTAAATTCTTCCTATTTAAGTGGCTTAAGGCTGGAGTACAAAAAAAGGTGGGAAAGATTGTTCATGTGGCCCTCGAGGTTTCTTTGCTTATATTTTCACGAGTTTAGACAATCAGATTGAGGTGTAGAATTCAGTAGTAGTCTTCTCGTTTGAGAGTTTTCTTGCTTGATTTGTATCCCTTAGGTAGTCTTTATTGCCTTCTCCCTCGCATACCGTCCATCCTGAAATGAGGACCACCAAACGGTACAAAAGAAGAGGGTTCTCTTTAAGTGTTTTCCTCGCCTCGGTTGGCTCTAAACTCTTGCTGATGATTATGCTCAACTGAGTGAAGTGTCTGTGTATGCAGATGCCAATTGGGGTTGACGAAGTGACTTGGATGAGGTCGAGAGAGCCGCAATTCTGCTAAGCGGGAATGTGTCACAGACCTTCCTGTCGAGCATCAGCCTTGACAACATTTAACTAAGCTATACGATGTATACCTGATTTCCAAATCAAAGAGTTGACCTCTATTACTACTCAAATCGACTGTTCAGTCAAGGTTTTTACATAAATATACAATTAATAAAATAAGACTTGAATAATTATGAATCATATTTACTAGATATATCGACAAAA